ATTTAGCATCTCTTGATAACGCAACAAGTTGCCACTCAATTGGCTTTTCCATAGTCTCTTAGACACTATATATATATAATATACATAATATATATAACATATTATATAATATATATTATATATGCAATATTTTATATAGAATGATAACATACTATATGTATTATATGTAATAGTTACATATAGTACATAAAATATTATATATACTATAAAATAATATACTATATCTGTAATGAATCTGTGTGCTTTGGATCTGCTGCTTGCTTTGAACCTTGAAGTAAACATAAGAGCTGCTGTATTTTGGATCTGAAGCATTTTCCAAGGCTCATATATGTTAAAGGCTTTGTCACCATCCTGTGTTAGAGGTAGTAGATCCCTAAAAAAAGTAGGGCTCAGAGGAAGGAAATATGGTCACTGAGGAAGTGTTCTAGAAGTTGGTATTGGGACTCCAGCCCCTTCCACTCTTTCTTTCTCTCTTTGCTCCTTGGCTGTTGTGAGCTCTACTATAACCTCCCAACATGATGACCTAGTGACCCTGATGAGGGCCAAAATAAAACTTAGCTTCTTGTTAGGTGATTATCCCAGGTATTTTAATCACAGCAATGGAAATTTAATCCAGCCATCAAGAGAATGACTGATACAATTCTAAAGGAACAATATTCTAAAGTTAGCTGGTTACTTACCAAAATTCTTTTTCCTTTGGCTCTCATAAAAATCCATCCAACTTAGGACTGGGAAGGTGGCTCAGCGATAGAGTGCTTGCTTTGCATGCATGAGGCCCTGGGTTCGATTCCCCAGCACCACATAAGCAAAAAGAAAAAAAGCTGGAAGTGATGCTGTGGCTCAAGTGGTAGAGTGCTAGCCTTGAGCTGAAGGGCTGAGGGACAACGCCCAGGCCCAGAGTTCAGGCCCCACGACCAGACCCCCCAAAAAACAAACAAAAAAATCCATCCAACTTAAATTCAAATGATAAAAAATTACAGAGATGTATTTCATATCTGAATTTGAATGCTGGCTTGACACAAAAATGGATATAGTAGAGCAATTAGAATGGTTTAACTTTGACAATTTTTGACTCATCAACAAATTAAAGACATCACTCTTGGAATTCATTTTCTGGCTTACATTTGCGGTATAACATAACTGACAAAATGTGACAATATAAATGGTTTGTCTTATATATTTAAATATAAATTCACTGTGTTTTGTGACAACTTATTAGTTTAGTCATACTAAACAGATTTTTATTTTATTTTATTTTTTAGTTTTAGTTTTTTGTCGGTCATGGGGCCTGAACTCTGGGCCTGGGCGCTTGTCCCTCAGCTCTTCAGCTCAAGGCTAGTGTTTTACCACTTGAGCCACAGCTCCACTTCCAGCTTTTTCTGTTTATGTGGTGCTAAGGAATAAAACCCAGGGCCTCATGCATGCAAGGCAAGCACTCTACCACTGAGCCACCTTCCCAGCCCTTACAGATTCTTAGAAAGGACTTTCAATTTTTTTCTTCCTACCACTTATATTTTTAAGACAATTTTTAGGCTCACAGAAAAATTGAGCACAAAATACAGAGATTTCTTTTTTTTTCCAGAGATTTCTTTTATGCCCACATAAGAAAATATGAAGAAGCTGGACACGGGTGGCTCACGCCTATAATCCTAGCTATTCAGTAGGCTAAGATCTGAGAATCATGGTTCAAAGCCAGCCCAGGCAGGAAAGTCCATGAGACTCTTATCTTCAATTAACCACCAGAAAACCGGAAGTGTTTAGCCAATTTTGCCAGCACCATTTACTGTCTTTCTCCCACTCTATTTTTATCTTATTGTTACCTTATCGAAGATTAGGTTTGCGAGTTCATTTCTGGGTTTTCAGTTCTATTCCATGGGTACTCAGGTCTGTTCTTGTGCCAGTATCAAGCCATTTTGATTATTATAGCTTTGTCATAGAGTTTGAAGTTTGGTACTGATATTCTTCCAGCACTGTTCTTTCTGCTAAGGATTGTTTTTGCTATTCAGTGTCTTTTAGTGTTCCATATGATTTTTTGATTGCTTTTTGTATTTCATTGAACAATGAGGTAGGGATATTGATAGGTATTGTATTGAATTTGTAGAGAGCCTTTGGCAGTATTGCCCATTTCATGATGTTAATCCTCCCAATCCAGGAGCATGGGAAAATTTTCCACTTCCTTAGTTCTTTTTCCTTTTTCAGGTTTTTAAAGTTTTCATCATAGAGATCCTTCAGCTCTTTGGTTAACTCCTAGGTATTTTATTTTTTTGTTGGGCTATTACAAAAGGAGTTGCTTTCCTGATTTCAGCCATGCTCTTCTCGTTATTGGCATACAAGAAAGCTATTGATTTTTGAGAGTTAAGTTTATACCTGCTACTTTGCCAGTTTCTGATCAGCTGGAGTAACTTGGGAGTAGAGTCCATGGGGTTCTTTAAGTACACAATCATGTCATCTGCAAGGAGGGAGAATTTTACCTCATCTTTCCCTATTTGGATCCCCTTTATGTTTGCATCTTGTTTTATTCCTCTAGCTAGGCATTCTAATATTAATTGTTCATGAAATTAGAGGAAATAACTTTAGCTTGTCACCATTAAGTATAATGCTGGCTGTAGTTTGTTATATATAACCTTTATTATATTGAGGAATGTTCCATGGATTCCTAGTTTCTCCAGAGCTTTCTTCATAAAGGGATATTGGATCTTGTCAAATGCTTTTTCTGCATCTATTGAGATAATTATGTGGTTCTTATCCTTGCTCTTGTTGATGTTATGAATTACATTAATTGATTTGCATATATTGAACCAGCTTTTCAATCCTGAAATGTATCCTGTTTGATCATAGTGTGTGGTTGTTTTTGATGAATTGTTGAAGTCGATTGTGTATGTTCTTTATCTGCATTGTTATTAAGCTAGAAATCATTAACAAAAGAGAAAAATCTCCAAATGTTTCAAAATTATCAACTACATACACACACATCATATACCCACATCATACACACACATATACCTGGATGTTTATGTGTCTGTTCTATATATATAATCTCCTTGTTTTGCTCATATAATAGAGTTTTCTCATATAGTGTTCTATATGAATGCAGCCTGTGAATCTCCTGCGAATTTTGGGCAAGCATGAAAGCAAATGTATGTAGATCCCTGGGGGTGGGGGGAACTTAGAGAGGAGGAAGAGGAGGCAGAAGAGGAGGAAGAGGAAAGCATATATTTCCCACCTTATAGTCTCCTTCCTCTGGTTGTGTGAGATCTTTTTCTCAGTGTCTCAGGTCCTAGCCTTTAAAATGTGTCCTAAAGGACCCAACAAGCACTTTATTTGGTTGTTAACTGCTTCTATGGCTGGAGGTTTATTGAGGTTAGAAGCCTAGTGTTTTAATTTACTGACTCTTCCCAAAGGGAAGATGGAGAGTAAAAGATAGGAATTGGAGAGAAGTAAATATAGTTTATTTCATTTGCTCCTCAGTCCTCAGAGGAACTGATTAGGTGCCTTGCATGATTTCTGTTTTTATAGGAAGAATCCAAAGCTGGGGGAGACAGCAGCCTTGGAGCGCAAGCTGGCCTCTGCTCTGCTTACCTTTAACCTCTGGCCTGACTTCAGGCAGTTCTCATTAGTGCACGAATGAGGAATGCACCTGTGCAAATCAGCTGAACGCGTCAATAATATGCAACATTTTTGCATTAAGTCACCATGCATTAAGTCACCGTGCTCACTAGCAGTTAATCTATATTATTTAAGTCTGTCCATGTATTTTTAGAAAACATGAAAGCATCTCAAATTGTCACTCATTCTAATCTAATCTCTGAAGACTACTGTGTTAGAAAATGAATTCTATTTGCATTTTAAACTACATTCACTATTTCCTTCGGCATAGCAATAGAATTTCAAATTCCGTGTTGTATTTGGAGCATGTCGTTGAAATCATCTTTGAAAAACAGATGACTAACACTTTAGCTTTTGTTTTTCTTAAATTCAATTTTAAAGAAATGCTTTAAGCTATCTTTAAATAGTCATACTAAGAGGTTTCAATTCAGCGTGTCAGTTTATGAGCATAAGCCATCTTGATCAGTGTTACCCCTTTTCTCGCCTTCTCCATCTCACCCATCTCCTAAAGTTATCCCATCTAATTCTTAATAGGAAAGTGTTTTATTATGTCAACGGTGAAGGGAGTTTACACGTGAGGAAGGAAGAAAAAAATCCCCATCTGGTCTGAGGAATGCTGTTTTCTGTCGGTTCTAAGCGTTTTATTGGGACGGGGCTGAGGGTGGCAGGCAGGTCAGTAGAGAGCAGACACTGCGGCTGCGCAGTCCCTGCTCCAGCGAGAGCTAGCGAGCGGGAGGCACCTGCTGAGAGCTGCAGCCTCCGGGCGAACGCGGCGGAGGAGTGGCCCGTGCTCGCCTGCGCTGCGCCCGCTCCCAGAGCCGGCTGGAAGGGCAAACCTTGCTTGTGTTCAGCCAGGTAAGGCAAAGTTTGCTGCTGGGTTTGTAGTGGCCAAGGACGCGTGGAACCGCGGGGTACCGAAGCTCGCCTGTGCGGAATTCTTTGGGGGAGACCAGGGGTACCCTAAAACACGGGCGATGGACTTGCGTTTACTTTTGAGGAGTAGGAAAGCGCTCCGCAGTACGGATGGATTCAATTTGTTGGGAAGGGATTTCAGCAAGTAGCGGAATGCTGGCCCGGGCCGGGGGGAGGCTGGCGCCCATCTCGGAACCTCGCTGCCGCTTAGAGCTGCACGTCAACGAGCATAACCTGTGTTTTCCATTCTGTTTCCAGCATCAGTCGTCCAGGGCGACCGAGGGCTGCGTGACGGGGTGGCGGGAAACGCTGCCCCCCCACCCGGGGGCCCGGAGGACTCTGACCATCTCACCCTGGGCGCTCGCGCAGGTTCGCGCCCGCGCGGGCTTCGGAGCCACCGAACCTCGCGCGCACGTCGGCCTTGGGGACTCGCGGCGGGGGTGGAGGGGGGGGGGTCCTCGGCTCTCCTGCCCTCGCCGGACATGCGCAACGCGTCCTGGTCTGAGCCCAGCGGGGCCAATGCGTCGTGCCTGGGATCCGTTCCGGGCTGCCCCAACTCGTCGATCCCGGCGCCGCTGCCGCTGCCGCCGCCGCTGGCGGTGGCCGTGCCCGTCGTCTACGCGGTGATCTGCGCCGTGGGGCTGGCGGGCAACTCGGCCGTGCTGTTGGTGCTGTTGCGGACCCCGCGCATGAAGACCGTCACCAACCTGTTCATCCTCAACCTGGCCATCGCCGACGAGCTCTTCACCCTGGTGCTCCCCGTCAACATCGCCGACTTCCTGCTGCGGCAGTGGCCCTTCGGGGAGCTCATGTGCAAGCTGATCGTGGCCATCGACCAGTACAACACCTTCTCCAGCCTCTATTTCCTCACCGTCATGAGCGCGGACCGCTACCTGGTGGTGCTGGCCACCGCCCAGTCGCGCCGGGTCGCCGGCCGGACCTACGGCGCCGCCCGCGCCGTGAGCCTGGCGGTGTGGGCGCTGGTCACCCTCGTGGTGCTGCCCTTCGCCGTCTTCGCCCGCCTCGACGACGAGCAGGGCCGGCTGCAGTGCGTGCTGGTCTTCCCGCAGCCGGAGGCCTTCTGGTGGCGGGCCAGCCGTCTCTACACGCTCGTGCTGGGCTTCGCCCTCCCGGTGTCCGCCATCTGCGTCCTCTACTCCACCCTGCTGTGCCGGCTACGTGCCATTCGGCTGGACAACCACGCCAAGGCGCTGGATCGCGCCAAGAAGCGGGTGACCGTGCTGGTGGTGGCGATCCTGGCGGTGTGCCTCCTGTGCTGGACGCCCTACCACCTGAGCACCGTGGTGGTGCTCACCACCGACCTCCCGCAGACGCCGCTGGTCGTCGCCATCTCCTACTTCATCACCAGCCTGAGCTACGCCAACAGCTGCCTCAACCCCTTTCTCTACGCCTTCCTGGACGACGGCTTCCGCAAGAACCTGCGCCAGCTGCTGGCGTGCCGCGCGGCCCCCTGACCGGCCGGGGCTCTCCCGCCATCCCGGGGCAGGCTCAGGGGAGGCCCGGGACCATCACCGACGGCAGCCTGGTATTGCCCAACTCTCAGCCCCATGCCATCCCTCGAGCCTCGGAGGCGCCCTGCCCGCGCTCACGGTGTGAGTCGCCCTGGAGGTGAGGCCGGTGCGTGCTGGAGGTGCGTGACAGGCCCCGGGCGCCGCGCTCACGCTCCTCAACGCAGAAGGACAACCATGCAGTCTCGAACTCGGCACAGAGACGTCTTAGTGGGGTGGAAGTGGGCGCCAGGGCTGGAAACCCGCGCCCGCCGGGCGGCACCGGGCAGGAGGAGGTCGCCGGCGCCCCCAGGCGTCGGCGCCGAGCGGCCTCAGGCCTCGGATCTTCGCGGCTTCGCGCTCGGCAGCGCCTGGCTATGCTTTGGCTCACGCGGACAAACATCCTGGCTTGCTTCGCTCGCCCTTCCGCGAGTTCGCGCCCACCCTTGATTTACACCCCAGAGGGACCGGCCGCGCGATGACATCTGCCGAGACTGCCTGGGCTCGCCGAGGGCGAAGGGGTAGGATAGGAAAGGGGAGGCAGGAACCTGGCAGCGACTGCCCAGACGAGTCACCGTTTCCCTTCCCTCCCTCAGCCCCGCTTTCTGTTTTCCAAGCTCACCCTAACATTCCTTCTTCCTTCTTCGGGGAAGAACCGAGAGGGAGGAGTCGCCTGAGCGCGGGGTGGCAGCGCCCCCTTGAGGAGACAAGCGCGAGTGCGCCCGGGCGTCTGGGGCTGGGCGTTCTCAGTGCCGCACAGCCAGGCTGCTTTCTGTAAAGGACTGGGGTTCCAGCCAATGGCCCCAACTGGCCTCTCACCCTGCTAGGACAGTTTCATTGTAATTGTTTGTGTAAGTACTGTTTCCCTGGTACATAATATACCACACAAGTTGCTTTGAGGATGGAAAGGAATAAGAAACTCAATTTATTCCTTCCTTGATTCACTTCTGCTCAGATTCTTTCTTGACCTCACCCTAGGGAGTCAGGAAGCTGAGATACCTGGCACCCTTAGCTTTCCCCTGGTTAGGCACCTGGCTAGAGATCTGCCACTCTTTGTTCCGTAGTTTCAGGTGGTACTCGGTAGTCTGAAAATTTAGTCAATGTGTTATTGTGATGTTTTATGGCCAGGGCCTACTCTGATTGTATTTCTACTTAAGGTTAAGAGGGAAGATTGATACTTGACCATTCACCTCAGTTTATGCCTCAAACATGAGGTCAATTAACTAAACTGATAATATATTGTAGTGTTTTAAAGAAAGGTATTATTCTTCAGGGTGCAAGTGGCTCACGCCTGCCATCCTACTACTCAGGAGGCTGAGATCTGAGGATTGTAGTTCGAAACCAGCCCAGACAGAAAAATCCCCGTGAGACTTCTTTTCTTTTCTTTTCCTTTTCTTCCTTTTTTGGGGGGGAGGGGGAGGTCAATCATGGGGCTTGAACTCAGGGCCTGGGCGCTGTGTCCCTAAGCTCTTTTTCTCAAAGCTAACAATCTACCACTTTGAGTCACTGCTCCACTTCTGGTTTTCCGATGGTTAATTGGAGATAAGAGTCTCACGATTCCCCAGCCCACCTCATGGCAGGGGGCATTGGACTGAGATCCTCAGATCTCAGCCTCCTAAATTGCTAGAATTACAGGCATGAGCCACCAGCGCCTGGCCACTTTGAGACTCCAATTAACTACTCAAAAAATCCAAAGTGGAGCTGTGTTAGAGTGCTAGCTTTGAGAAAAAGAGCTCAAGGGCAGTGCCTAGGTCCTGAGTTCAAGCCCCATGACTGACAAAAAAGTATTATTCTTTAGAATAAATTCCAGACATGAGTGAATAAAAATTTCTAAAAAGCAAACAAAAAACCCCAAACCAAAACAAAACAAAACTAATTTCTTGGTGTGGCTCAGGGTTATATGAAAAAGTATTTCTAATAGGTTTCATTTGTTTAGTTAATTTCCCAATTATTTAGGCTCAAAATAGGAGCTTTTCTCACTCAAGTTTAGTTCTCTACTATTTGGGCTACAGCTTCACTTCCAGCATTTTGCTTGTTTATTGGAGATGAGCTCCACAGACTTTCTTGTCCAGGCTGGCTCTAAACCATGATCATCAGATCTCAGCCTTCTGCTGGATTGATTTTTTTTTTTGTCAGTCATGGGGCCTGAACTCTGGGCCTGAAAGCTGTCCCTCAGCTCTTCAGCGCAAGGCTAGCACTCTACCACTTGAGCCATAGCACTGCTTCTGACTTTTTCTGCTTATGTGGTGCTGAGGAATTGAACCCAGGGCCTCTTGCATGCAAGGCACTCTACCACTGAGCCAACTTCCCACCGATCTCAGCCTTCTGAATAGCTAGGATTATAAGTGTGACCCACCAGTGCGCCACTGCAAAATACCACTCAAAAATATGCGGAAAGGGAACCGTCTCTCTCATTTGGATGGTAAAAAGGGGTTCTGTAGTTCTCAAAGATATGAACAGTGGGATAATTCATAGCTATCAGTTTAGAAAATGTTAATCCAGAAACTGTATACCCCAGGTACAAATAATAGTTAACTGTACATAATTAAGTTTTTCATTTAGAGTACACTGGAACAGGCCTCTGAAAATGGGCTTCAAAGCTTATCTGTCAAATTTCTAAGAAATATTCTACAGATATTTTATATTTCACAAAACTCTTTTGTGAGTCCTCTGGAATATCTTGAAATCTCTGTAATTTCTTGCAGTTGAAATGTGTGTGTGTGTGTGGGGGGGGGTGCACACGCACTCATGCCAATACTAGGACTTGAAATCAGGGCCTGGGTGCTTTTTCACTCAAGGCTGGCACTTTACCAAATGATCCACAACTTTACTTCTGGCTTTTTGGAGGATAATTGGAGGTGAAAATCTGACAGACTTTTCTGCCCAGACTGGCTTCAAACCTCAATCTTCAGAGTAGCTAGGATCTTCAGAGTAGCCCCCTTGAGTAGCTAGGATTACAGTTGAGGTCCACCAGTGCTCAGTTTAAAATTAATGTTTGAAATTAGAAAAACTTCTAGGTTACCCAAGGTTTTGGACAAGAGTGGACATTTGACTTCATACATAGCCAGGTATGCATCTGGATTTGAAGCTTCACATAGTTTTAGGAATTCAGTATTGACACAGATTAGAGGGAGACCCAAAGATTCATCTTCCCACTGCATTTTTCCTACTCTGGATCTGGAACTGTTTCAGAATTGATGGGGAAAACTGCTGGAAGAGCATAGGGACTGGCATTGCTATGTCACCCACAGCTAGACACAGATTGGCATCTGTGTGAGATTAAGTAGAAATACATGGGATTTGGAATTTAGATTCATCTTGTCCTTCTCAACCTCTGGATGAACTATTGTGCCATATAAACATTAAGGAATCAGTCAGATTGTTTGTCTTTGGTAGTAGATTTAATATGTAAATAAATCATGTAAAAGTAAAGTTTACTTACATCATTGTATTGCAAAGTTATAATTCTGGGTTGAATTCTTGCAGTTTTTGTGTGAACTAGATTGTTTGGTTTTTGTCACTGCTGGTATTTATAAATGTTTGTTTGGTTTTACTGAATTTAGTACAGTTGTGTAATGTGGAAACTTATGCTTTCTTCTAAGAAATGCTCAAACTCTGCTAGTCCAATGCAGCATTCAGTTTAAAAATAAATGCTAGAGGGCTGGGAAGGTGGCTCAGTGGTAGAGTGCTTGCTTAGCATTCATAAAGCCCTTTGTTTGATTTCCTAGCACCACATAAACAGAAAAAGCCAGAAGTGGTGCTGTGGCTCAAGTGGTAGAGTGCCAGCCTTGTGCAATAGAAGCTCAGGGACAGCACCCAGGCCTTGAGTTCAAACCCCAGGACTGGCAATAAATAAATAAATAAATAAATAAATTCTAGAACATTCTGTGTGATAAGTGAATATTTTATTCTCTGAAAACATGGGATCCATACATCAGTTCCCTTAGAATATAGCAATTGTTTTTGTTTTATAAAACTGCCCTCATGAAAAACAGTTGCATGATGAATAAGGAATATATAAACAGAAGTATCTGATAGGACAATGTTAAGAATGAAATCCCTGCCACCTTTTAATCTGGTTGATTTCAGCCAGATGCCTGTAATCATAGCTCTTCAGGAGGCTGAGATAAGGGTTCAAAGCTAGCCCAGGCAGGAAAGCCCATGAGACTCCTATCTCCCAATCACCAAGAAGCCAGAAGTAGAGATGTGGTTCAAAAAAGCTCAGAGAGAGAGTGCCCAGACTCTGAGTTTAAGCACCAGGTCAAGCACATGCATGTGCACACGTGTGCACACACACATAAAGTAAAATAAGTTTAGTTGATTTTGAAAATAATACAAAGCTACTGCTTGACAAAGAGATGTTAGAACTTAATGTTAATCATTGAACAGATAAAAAGTTATCATATAATCTCAAACATCATTATTTGAATATTTAAACAGCTGTGTAGTGAGTAAGAAGGGAAGACAAATTACTTAAATTATCAGTGTATATACAGCATTGGCTAGTAGTTGTATGCACAGCCCTGGCCCACATATGGGCAAGGTAGAGGATCTCATCTGAACTGCCACAGATTCACTGGAAACCTTTTTTAAACAATGTTCTGGGAAAGTGCCAATGCCAATTGGGTACAGTAGTCACCTGTGTTTGTGCATGTAATGAAAGAGATCATTGAATTCTTTACAGTATGAACCACCATTAGGACAGCTTTATGTGAGTCTGGCACTTGGCTCCCCACTTTGCAGATAAAGAAACTGAGGACTGCAGAAGTGGTCAAGTTGCAGAGCACTTGCGAGCTGTAGCTCCAAGTATAATCCCCAGTACTGCAATGAAACAAAACCAGGCAATAACAATCACCAAACAAAGACAGTGAGACACACACAAACAGGATACATTTAGGCAGATACATAGAGACAAATCAAGACCAATCAGAGTTTTAGCTCTCATTTTAAGAATATCTTATGTTCTT